ATATTATATAAATAAAATATTTCTCTGTTTGGATTAAATTTGGGCATCGGTGATTTGCTGATGATTTGCTTGAATCTATGGCGTAATTTATAAAGTCCTGAGTGTTCCTGACAATTCAATTTAAATGAAAAGGCATGTAGCACGCAAAACAAAAGGAACAATTTTATATAGGAAGAGAAAAGAACGATTCTGAATGGATTGAACTGAATGTTACAAAGATCAGTGCGGATCCCTCACAAGCCTTCTGATGTCCAAATTCCTATGCAAATTCAAACAATACCTTAAAACCCTCAAAAACCTGCTGAAAATAGAATCTTTATCTTAGGAACATATGAAAAATGACTAAAATATACTTTTATTGTCTATAAACATTTTGCAGAATACCCCTGAATTCTCTATAATAGTACCTGACTAAAGTAACCCTTGTAATGGTTGCATGATTGCACAATTGTCAATGTGCTTTCATATTTATTGCTCCTATTGAAAAGCTTAAGATACAATATGAAAAATCACACTGAACTTGAAATATTGTATGTCTGGAACAGAGGAGGATGCTTTCATGGAGCTATTGAAGTTTATGTACTGTGGGATGCTGTCAACAAGTACTACTCCAAGGTTGTTGTGGGATTTGTTGGTGGTTGCTGACAAATTCGAGGTTGCTTCCTGTGTGTGTCACTGTTGCGCGTTGCTGGGTAGTCTTCCCATGAATCGAGATTGTGCCTTACAATATCTTGAGCATCCTTATACAATGATAGATGGAATAGAACCTCTTCTTGTTGCTGCAAAGCAGTATCTTGCCAAAAAATACCAGGATTTATTTGAGTAAGCTTTCTTGGAATGCCTGTATGTTTAATTAGTCATTGCACTAGTTTCACCATTTATTTGCTTACCACTGAATATACATGAACATCCATTCTCTGGGATTGGCGATGCTGTACAACACATTGATAAACATGTTCCTTGATTTCTTTGCTGAAACATTTCACTTGTAAGTTTTATAGTGTCGCAAACTTTTGAATAAACAAAACATAAAAAGTAAAAAATTTAATAGTTATTAATTTTAAAAATTCAATTAGTTGCATTGTTTATTCTTGTTGGTAATCTTACCCACCGTACATCCAAATGTATCTCAACTGAGCTTTTCACCCCATATTGATTGTGAATTTCTATGCAATGCACAATTGTCATGGTGGTTAATTGATTGGCCCAAGATAATTATATTGGTGGAGTTTATATATCAATTAATGACTTTCAAGCAATTTTTTAGCACAGTCGTGAAGAATCTACAGCTAGCCCCTGATTAATCACTTCAGTTCCTCTATTCCAATTTCTTCGATTAATTCTTTTAATTTTGTTGTAGTTTCACGAATTAGATGATTGAACTACGATTTTGAAACTAACAACCCGCATATTCTTGGCTGAGGTAACCCACAAGTGACACTAGATGAAAGAAAGTAATAGGCAAGTAGTTTGAAGGAACTCTTACAGGAAAAAGCTTGAAGGGAAGGATTAGTGGCTATCTTCATTTTTGGGAGATAATATGGAGAAAGGTCTGTCAGGTCCTCCTGGAACTGATCTGTAATTTCAATGCATCTTCAAACTTCGTAGTCATTAAACCTGGCAGCTTAGGTTCATGATAGTCGTGTCTAATTTGTATCCGGTGGTCTGCCAGATCTAGAAGAGATGTAGAATAGGCTCTCTACAATCCTTGCTTCCTTCCCCTTGCATCTTTTAACGAGGAAGCAACGTGCTTGCCGTATCAGGATGTATTTGATGAATGGATCCTCTACACAGGGGGTCTATTTCTAACTATGCCGACCCAATTTTAATGATAAACATAATATGAACTGCCTGACAAATGAAAAGGAGGATGTGCTCGTGCCATTTGACTCTGGATCAGAGTCTACAGTGTTCCACCTTTGAGTTTATGAACAGTGGTCAGTCTATAGCTAAAAAATGTCAAGTTTAATCATTTTGTACTCTTTTGAAGGACCATTTTTTAATTGTTGGAGAATGGAGGATGGAAACTCTTATTTGGCCTGAATATAAGGGTTTTAGTGAAAGGACATAATTTCTCTATTACAATTAGAAGGGACTTGTTCTGTTTTAACATTTGCTCCCAAAAAAAAAAAAAAAAATTCAGGAAAGACTCAAAGCAATCTGGAGGTTATAAAATGAATTTGTCATTTATCTTGAAATGGAGATGGATAATATGTGTAAAATATGAACCTGTGTATATAAAAGTTGATCATCTAATTGTGTACCCTTGATTATAAGATGAAATCTCATGGATAGTGAGGATTGTGTTTATCTTGATTTATACATTGATCGAGTTTGAAATTGATGAAATGTTAATGCTCGTTCATTTTTTATTGAACTGTAATGTCCTTTTTGTGGATGCAGGTCTCATGACGAGCTGATGGCCTTGCCTCTGTCTGGCATCAAGGCAGTGCTCTCAAGCGACGAGCTGCACGTGGGATTGGAGGATGCCGTATTTGATTTTGCCCTCGAGTGGGCACATGCTAATTACCCCAATCTCGAGGAGCGACGTGAGATATTGGGTTCACATATTTTCCCTGTCAGACGCTTTTCCCGCATGTCAACCCACAAGCTCAAGGTGGCCTTTGAATGTGAAGATATGGACCCTAGCCTCACATTGAAGTGGGTGGCAAGGGCCTTTATTGTCAAGGCAGAGGAGGCTGAACACCAGCATTGTGGGACTGAGTGTGCATACAAGCGCCCTCCATTAAAGGTAATACAGTTGGCAGCAAACCATGCCAAGTGCCTGGTGTTCTTGGACCTTCGGCGAGAGGACTGTGCTACCCTCTTTCCAACAGGATACATGAAATCGCAGTTGTTCTACCTTAATGGCTATGCCTTCTTCCTCCGTGTTCAATGCATAAAAAATAAGGCAAGCTCCCCCCATTCCTTTGGTCTTTTCCTTGGGATGGAGGATGTGTCGGACAGTGTTGTCACCCAGTACATGTTTGCATCTAGATCGGAGCGAAATAAGGAATTTAGAACCATTCAGATGATGGAGTATACGTTTGACAAAGGGAACACGCGTGGGTATGGATTGGCCAACCTCTTCAACACTCCATGGACCTCATTCATCGCTGATGACAGCCCCCACTTCTTGAATGGTTTGCTTCACTTGCGTGCTGAGGTAATCATCAAGACACATTGATCTCACTTTTTGAATATCGTCCATAGATTTAACCCGTCATGTCACAATGACATGTTCTCACATGCTTCATAGACTGCAGTACTCTAGGGCTTTCAGTTGTTTTTCTTTTTTGTAAATTGAAATGGGCATCACCCCTCACAAGACGGTTCATACATGAAGCACCCAGCTATGAGACATTGTGCTCCAAGAAGATAGCCAGATTTGAAAATTTTAAAGCATTGAACTTCAAACTTAACCAATGCATTACGTTGACCTTATGTATAATTGTGCAAGGAGGGGAGAATATTATTGTGCTCCGTTGACTCACATAAACGGAGACCATCATACAATACTCTAAGATTTGCTGCCATTTAAGTTTCAACTATGTTGTATGAATTGCCATGTTGGGCAAGGTTTGTCAAACTCGCTTTGGAGCCTTCTTGGTTTAGTCCAAAGACGAGGCAATTCGGTGTTTTGGCTCATTTGGAGGAAGACTTAACAGGGTTTTTTTTTTTTTCAAAATTTTAATATAAATAAAATAAATATTTATATTTTCATAATAAATGTTTTAAAATTAAAAAATTAAAAAAATTAAAAGGATAATTAGAAAAATACAATCTTGTGCTTCAACTAAAGAGGCCAAATTGGACCAAAGTGAGCGAAAGCGGCTTGAAGCATGCCGAACCCTAGAGCTTCGCTTCTCTTTGGTGTAAGCTGCCTCAGAGCTTTTCTGCACTTCGGTGTAGGCCGAAAATCTGAAGACTTCGGCCCCTTCGGCTGAAGCAAAACGAATTTGATAACATTGAATGTTGGGTTCCGGGCTCCAACATCACATCGATTACATAAGTTCAATTACACAATCAAAGGGTTATTGCCTGAATTTTGTGCAAAAAGTAAGATCTAGCTCGCTGTTGAGGTTTTGTCTTCTTTATGAGCCCTAAAAAGTAAGCAACATTCCTATTAAGTCGGATAAACTACGAAAATCTTAAATGCCATTGGTATTTGCTTGTATTATCTTATATTGATTCGGTGAAGCAAATTGGACATGCTCTCGATACTTTTGGATTTGAGAAAGGAAAATTTCTACTCTAGCTTTTTGTTAATTACTTCAAGGGAAAAGTTTATATGGAGCCGAGGCTCTAAACAATCAACTTTTAGCCTACCTCAAAAAGTTTTCTAGAAGAGGTTGTTTTGATTCCCAAATATCTTCAAATTGAACATCAAGATGAATGGACAAGAGAAAAAATGGATTTCAAGTTTTGGAAATAATGTATTTTATAACGTATATTTAGACCGTCAATTTTCAAGATTTTCAAGTTTTCATAGATATGTCGATCTACACTATTTTTTGAAGCTTTAAACTTTATAAATAAATATGAAAATATATTTTAAGGTTATCACAAAGATTTCCATTAGTGAAACCATATTTCTCGATACTATTTGAAGGTAGGCTCTAATTTAATTGTTTAGAGCCTAGGCTCTATACAACCGCACCCTTACTTAAAAGTACTCTTAAATTAAGATTTAGTAAGGTATTAATTGCTCAAAACTGTAGACCATTAAGAGAGTACGCAAGAAAAAAAGTATCTTAATAACTTTTTTAGATATGGATGTGGTATGATTAGTTGAGAAAAGGTTTGGACAATGATGAGATCTGGATGTGGTCTACATAAGGTTATCTTAATTTTACAAGAAAAATTGTAATGTCCTCTACTATCTATTTTAATTGGACGGTATAGATTTGACAAGTCTTTTGTGATAGTATTAAAAAGTGACTCGTCTTTTAAGGGGGTTGTATACAATGAGTTTAGTTACAAGGATATTACAATTACTCTTGGCTATTGGATTTGAAATTTAATAGCTTGAAATGTATTACAATATTCGAAAAATTTTATTTTAGAATTTATATCAAATCCCCATTTACCCGATTTCATATCTTACTGCCGAGAGTAATTGTGACCCAATACCAAAGGTGAATCGTTTTCCGCCTACGTTTTCGGCCTTTTAATAGAGTGCCAAATATACAACATTTAAATAAAATGAGCGAAGGTAGATTATTGCCGCCTTGTACAAGTAAAGTTGCAACTTTTTGGCCTTTCGATGTTATCATTACTTTATTTGTAAAGTAAGAGTGAGGTGGTTTGACACTTGGAGATATTTTAGGGCCTGTTTGGTTTCTTGAAATAGAATTCCCGCAGTCACATTTCCAAGGAAACAGCCTTAGACTATCCTGTTTGGTTCCCTCCGAAGACGGAATTAACATTTACGGTGGGAGTCCTATATCCTTATTTTAAATCAAATTTTAGGAAATTTCAATTCCATCCAAATAGATGGAATAGACATTTCATGAAAATAAAAAAAACGCACATATCCTAATGTAATTATTGTTGTTATTGATAATATTAATACTGCTACTTCTACTACTATTATTAATGTTATTGTTAATATTATTATTTAAAATATTTATTGTTAAAATAGTGATCATTTAAATATATTTTTATTATAATATTGTCATATTAATATGATATAATACTACTATTGAAATATTTATATTTTATTATTTTTAATATTATAATATTATTTTAATTGAGATTAAAGGTAATATATTATTATATATTTATTTTAATTATCGGACTTCAATTAATTAAAATAAGAATGATAATAATAATAATGTTTTATAAT